GCAGGTTTTTGCAATTTTTTTTTAAATTAATATATATACACTATAGGTACATGTTTATATGTATTGGTTAATATAATAGTATGTATCTAACTACCTACCTATATGTTAATATTTTTTAGGAATTATAATTGCACATTTCTCAAAATGTTCATTGTTATATTATATCACACAATAAATACATATCATATTTCAATATTTGTTTGTATGTATATAGTTTGAATTTTTCGTAAATAATTTCGTAAGTTGTGTGATAGGGTTTTCACTTATAGCCGCTTGATGTCGTGTCTGCAATCCACCGCAGGTGGATTGCCTACCTGATTTGTTGTGGCACATAGTCCGCGATCCGACGAAGTCGGATTGCCTACCTAAGTGGCTAACTTGAAAGTTAATAGATTTTGACTTGAGATGACTGACTTGCTAGAAACTCCAACACGGTTTTCGACTTTACACTTTTTACATAAGATAAAGCACCGTTTATGCTACGGCACATACCACTCTATGTGCAGCTATACTCTATATAGGAGATCGTATCCAGCCTATCCATTTACAACGTTTGTGACGGATTGCTAGACACTCAAACTTTTAACATTCCCGCCAAAGCGTCTAGCCTTATCTCCAATCCATATCACTAATCCTTATCACAAATCCTAAACTTTCGTCTTACAACCTTTGCGACTTTTATAATTCATTGTCTCCAAAATCGGTACCCACTCTCAGCGATTCCAACGGGCCCCGAGTTATACTTAGAGCTAGTTAAAATAATAAAATAGCAATTATTGTTTTGTAATTTCCAGGACTGCCATGTAATTCCTACACTTTGGTACACCTTATTCCAACAGTGGTTTACCCCCCTGTTTTTGACTTATCGAAGTTCCACCATAGAATACTATAGAAACGACACTCCCCCCACCACTTCACTTTTTTTCATTTTGGCAGCGGACTGATTGATGTTGTAAGCATAGCGGGAGAACATGAAGTTATAAACAGTCGGTTGCTCTATTATCACTGCAAACTGCGGATATCACTTATCACTTGCATGTTTTTAATCAACAAAAAATAATTACACATTAAAATGGTCCTTAAAAATGTATATATATATATTTTTTTTATTGATCAAAATAACATTGACAGTAAAGGCCATTAGTTAATAAAATTATATTTTATTATGTAAATATTGTATTGTACTTTCTTTTCTTGATATCCCATTAAATAGACAAACTAAAGTTATTCAAATTATTTTGAATGGCGGGAAATTATATAGATAGGTTTGATAATATTCTATGGTTGATGTTGTGAACACAGCGGGAGAACATGAAGTTATGCACCTTATGTCCTTATCAAATTGATTCAGGCAGAACAAAGGATTTCGGGAGAGTGTCGTTTCTATAGTATTCTATGGTTCCACTATTGTTCCAGGGTTCCACTGTACCTATATAGGTTATAAATTAATAATTATAAGGCTATAAACTATAAAATAGTAAATCACCCAAATAAAAAATACTTGAAGGTACCTAGCAACAACAGTGATTTAAAAACATAATTTAAATTTGTTTAAAAACTTACCTTTTTATCAGGAATATTCGACATCGGTACTGTTTGAAGCATATTCACAAATCAAAAACGACCACAGCTACAGCTTTAACCACACAACTGCACGAGTAGGTAAAATCAATCAGTTGACGAGTTATGTAGTCGGCAGTCGTCAAAATATAAAAATTAAAAATACGTGCGCGATCGGATCATTCGGCATTGCCCATTATTGTCACTTGCTCGTTATCGATGGAATCAAAAGTGATTTTGCAATTTGCGGTCGCCGCGGGTCACCCGGTCACCGATAGGCGATAGCCCGTATTATAGACGAATATAGTGGTGGTATTTACATCAAAGTATATTTTTAGAAAATATAACCGTCAAATGCAGTTATTACCCATGTTATAAATAATATCAAATTGGTTTGTGTTTTTCTGAAATATTCCCGTAACGTATTGGGAAACATTATATATTTATAAAGCAGTATGTTTTTATAAAACCATTAATGTAGGTTTGTAAAGAACGTTTCATTGCAATGTTTACATTGGAACATAAAATGATCATAACTCATATTTTTGTGGAACATAACAGAAACATCCAGGTAACGTCAACGTGAACATTCTTATGTAAACATAGGTACTTAAAACGTATATTTCTGGAATGTTTGTAACGGTTTCTTGCACGGTGGGGTTTCTATTTTATAATAGATCAATAGCCAATAGGTTACCTAAATCACATTTTTTTTAAATTTAAATCCCGGTAGTCGAGTTTTTGGAAAGTACCACAAAGGAGACTTATAATAATTCACATTGTAATTTAATAGAATGTCTATACATTTGTGGACCAGTTTCGTATAGTTAAATTTGGCATGCGAACTATGAATAAAATAGAAAACCAGAATAAGTACATTGCTGATCACAAAAATTTCTGTAAAAGTACGTACGATTTACCAAAGACCGTTTAAGTACTGAGTATAGCATATATAAGTTCTATGGATTTATCATAGTAAATAATATATTTTATAATAATATCTATGGCTATCGTCAATTATTGTCGACATTCGTAAGTTATCCTTTTCTATGGCGACGATTAACAATTCTAATAATTTCAGTGAACAAAAAAATAATAAACGATCAATATATACGGACAGTTTGTTAGCACAAATTCACACATTTCGTTATGGTCAGATTATTTTCATTAAATATTTCGATACTTTCAAGTTTCAGTTCTGAGCAAGATGATGATGGATGAATATAGCCGTTTTTTCGGCGACGGCGGCACTCTAGCTAAATTTCACCGGAAGAGTCGATGTTTACGCGTAAGTCTGTTTTCATATTATTGCTATTTTAGTATTTTACATTTACTTTAAGACTTAAATTAAATATTTATTGCCCCGGACAATCTGTTAACTGGGTGACGTAGAAGCATTTATAAGTTTAATACTAAAAGCGCCATGTATAAAATACACGAGACCGAATACAGTCCAAAGTTCGTCTTCGTTTCACTACTCCAAGTTTAATAAGTGCCTTTTTGCATAGGTATACTATAAGCCGGGTATCACCTTAGGTTTTGCGTGAAGTATTTAAAACAATATAATGTTATCAATCTTTATATTTTATATACATAAATACATTATAAACCTCTTGTATTTTATTAGCATACTCACAAATTTTTTAGTGTAGTTTATACCCTATACCCATTAAATGTTTTGCAATTATATATTTTACTATAATTATTATTTTCCATTATCATATAATATAACAATACACTTTAAATTAAATTAGTTGTTATCAAGACAGGCAATCTTAATAAGACAAACTCTTTTCTGGATGTTATCAAAACGGATTATGCTTAAAAAAATTGCACAGTTGTCGTAGCAGTCAGTTGCTAGATCAACCCGTGAGACATTAAATAATTTTTTCGAAAAATATATGTAATATGTATGGCTCATACAATTAAGAATTTATAGTTAATAGAAATACGGATGTTTATACTTCATAGATATTTTTTTATTGAAATCTTGTAAATAATTGAATTAAACAATCGGGTGCAAATCACTAGTATCAATTTTATTCTATTACGTGTAAAATCACCGGAACAAAGTGCAGACTGCATTTTAAAAATTAAAAAAATATAAAATAATGTTGTAGTAGAAGCTGGAAACTGTAGTTTATTCTAATTTATAATCCAATAATTAATGTAACCGGGAATGTAACAATTAAATTCATCATTGAATGATTATTCAGAGATCACTTTGGGATAAATGCCAAACATATAAATGTAAATCAAATTGAGAATAATTAAAAAACATTTTATGAAAGGAACAAGATTACTGCTAATATTTAAGTCTTAATTATTATTAACAAATAAATACAAATAATAGATATTTTAATAGCTTTTTACCATCAACATTCAGTGTAAATAATTTCTGATTGACTTATATATTATATATATATATAAAAATCTTCTATAAAATAATTATTCGTATACAAAAATCCTAACAATTAAATGCAAGGATCTCATAAATTGATCTTACAACATCCTTTAAACATCAAAACTACATTTGTAAATCATTTATACACTACACCTACTTTAAATAAAAACATTTAGTACAACATTTTAGTTCCCTGTTGGCTGTTATGGTGTAGGTACTAATGTAAACAATAAATTATTATTCGAAAACACAATTTCGTATACCAATTATTATTTACTAAATACCTACAACTAAACTAAAAATAAATATATGATTACATTCTGAGTGCCTATAATATTATAATATTATATATGAAAATTGATTCCTTATTATGAATACTTAACGTTCACACAGACCACAAGAAACAATCATTTTAAAATTTTAAAAATTGAAGAACACATCGTTGTAAAATTAATTCAGTCATCGATCCCCTCAGAATCTAAAATCTAAAATATATCCGATAAATTTAAAATTAACATATATCATTAATATTATAATTTCTTATTCAGCAGTATTCGGAGAAAATGATAGACTTGGAATTTTAGAATCTAGGTAGGTAGTTGGTATTATAGACTATAGTCGATACTGTAAATTTGATGAATTTACTGAGTATACCTTTATATTACCTAAAATCCAATAAACACATTTTTATCTAATGATTCATAAAATACAATAAGCTTTTATAAAAATATACTTGTACTTCTGCAGATATCTATTCACCATTTTAATCAATAGTTAAATTAATAAACAAAAATAGTAATTTAAATAATACCCATATCAATATCATATTATTATAATATAAATTCAAAATCATTAACTATATATAATAACTATTTTGATTTTTGTCATATAAAATTTCAACGAACAAATATTGTTCCTCAACACGGAACTCTTTGATATAAAAAGTTGCATTATATGATCCGTGGATTCATCATATTGACTTTACCTAGTATAAACTATAAAGGTAGCCACACACGGTCCGGTTAGCCTGTCAGTTATGCCTGCACAGGCCGCCGGAGACCGGTCGGCCGGACTGACGTCAGCGCCCCCATACGTTCCGGCGAATCTGTCCGGCCGCGGCAAGTTTTATATTGTATTTGGCCGGACGGCCGGAACCCATACACGTTTCGAACGCCTGTGCAGTCCCGCAGTCGGCCGGATGGACGAACGAGTTTTCATAATTTCTCCGGTGGCCTGTACAGATATAACTGTTCAGGCGACCGGAACCCACAAACGCAACGGCCGACCGGTCTCCGGCAGCCTGTGCAGGCATAACTGACAGGCTGACCGGACCGTGTGTGGCTACCTTTATATAATATCTATCATTTATATTCTGTGGCAAATCTCAATGTCATTGCAGACGACACAGTCGATTAAAAATTCTAAAATTTCAATATGCAAAGCAGATATGAGTAAAAAACTTACTGCGTCCCGTATAATTTTATTTTTCATAAATCACAATATTTTAAGTTCTGTATTCTCTGAAGCGTTTCGTCATCGGCATCACAGTTCTCACACTTTACGGATTCCGCCGAAAGAGTCGATAATTAAACTATTAAAGTAAGTTTTTTTTCATATTCTTTTGGGGCTTAATTTTACTTTCATTTTTTCTAAAATATATGGTAAAAAATAAATCATATTTCGCTATAAAAAAATAATAAAACATAAAGTATTTCAAATTTGAGTGGATTAATTTTTTATGATCATAACCACATTGCCTACAGATTATTAAGCATTAGTACAGCAGTAGTTAATAGTCATTTTTGCCCAAAAAATTACATTTAAAAGTGTCATCGTGTATTCGTGTAAATAAATTATAATAATATACTCCGTTCTCCGGCCGTTCTTACGATGTCCGGTAAAGTGTCGGTTAACGCTAACCAACTAATAACAGATTTTATTACCTGCGGGTATATACGGGTTATGTGTAGGTTAAATTTAACCGGACATTGTAAGAACGGCCTTAAAAGTTTTATAAATCCACGAACACCTACTATTGTTAAATTACAACAAAATAACTAAAATCGTTATTCTTTGTTTTAATAAGTAATTTCGTCCAAATTTGAACTTATAATGTCTGTAAAAATTAACTGTGTTTTTAATAGATCATTTAGTTTTTTTTTGTTAGAGTATGAACTATTTTTGAGAATTCTTGTTTTACATTTTCAATCCTTAGCAATAAAAGTTGAACATTTTATAAATTTTACTACTAAATAGTAATTTGTAAACTATCAATTTGAAAATTCAAATGTCTATAAATCACTTTAATCACTGAAAACGAGTCGAAATATTTTGAACATTATATAATGTATATTATGATAGTTTTGTGGCGAACCAGTGCCTTCACCACATACTCCCTCCCAATGTCGGTCGCGCTCCCTGTGTTGGCAACACCGCTCGGCCCTCCGCGTCGTTCGCGACCGCGAAGTGTCGGGCGGCTGGCAACGGTCTCTCTCTCGGCAACCGTCAACCGACGTACACGACGTACACAGTCCGACCCGCCGCCATGTTTTGCCGTTGGACAAAACACGCTCCTCGAGCCACGAAACGCACGTGACCAGCCGTTTTCCTCCGATCGCCGACCGACTCCTCTGTAACCTTTTATTTGTAACGTGTATTTTTCGTCTTTTAAATAAACCGCGCATCGCGCGCCTTCAACGTCATTCGCGTACCTATTCATTTATTTAAACGTTGGTGTTCGACCGTGATAACGGCACGAACGCCACATTGGTGACCTCGACAACTTTTTTTTATTAAACCGGACACGCACCACGTGCTCCGTCAAGCGCGATGACAGACCAGCAACACGGCTTCTCCGGCGCTCCGGATCAGGTACTCAGCCGAGCACACATGGTTGCGCTCAATACCTCGCTGTTCATCGTGCAGGCAAGAACTCGTGTTCACCACCGGTCGGACGCTCCGACCCCGCGACCTCCATCGCTCAAAGAGCAGATCCGTCGCACGCCGCCTCCGCCGCCGGACATCACTCGTCTCTGTCATCGTTCTCAACTCGCAAACTGAACCAACCATCATCATTCAAAATTCAAATCGCACTTCAAAATTCATCATCAATCAACTCGGCTACACCTCAAAATTTGCCCCACTTCTTCTTTCGGCCGCACATCTAAATTTTTCTCCAATCATCTCGAAACTCAAAACATTTCAAATTCAATCAACTACAACCACTCAAAATCTTCATCTCAAGATACACTCGCCCGCCGTCTTTCCGTTTGAGCAGAAAGCGCGTACGTCTCCGCACCCCGCAGGATCGCTGCATCGAGACGCGCGCGTGAGTACGATCGCAGTTAGACCGCCGGCGAAACGTCGTCTTCGAGACCTCCGTCGCGGGAACCGCATCTCGTGCAACACCACGCCTCCTCCGATCCGCCCACCGCCCGCCTGTTCGGAACGCACGCGCGTCGTTGCTACCGACGGGCGACGGCACAGCCACAGCCCACGTCGCGCGTGTAAGTACTGACACGGGTACACGGCAACTAAGGATTCGCGCTCATCGCACGATCGGTTTTCTCGACCCATCAAAATTTCATCTTCAAGCCAAATCGCCCGTCAACTTCGACTCATTCTGTCAACTTCAATTCAACTTCGATTCATCTTCCGCCGACTTCAGTTTTCAACTTTCATCCACTGCAAACTCATCTCCATTCGCATCTTCAATCAACATTCACTCATCTTCCTTCAACGGCCTCTTTCGACTTTCAACATCTCAACCTCAGCTTCGAAAATATTGTAAGACCAAAAAAATCTGTAAATATTTTTCTTTCTTCTAAAGGGGGGAGTAATGTGGCGAACCAGTGCCTTCACCACATACTCCCTCCCAATGTCGGTCGCGCTCCCTGTGTTGGCAACACCGCTCTGCCCTCCGCGTCGTTCGCGACCGCGAAGTGTCGGGCGGCTGGCAAGTGGCAACGGTCTCTCTCTCGGCAACCGTCAACCGACGTACCCGACGTACACAGTCCGACCCGCCGCCATGTTTTGCCGTTGGACAAAACACGCTCCTCGAGCCACGAAACGCACGTGACCAGCCGTTTTCCTCCGATCGCCGACCGACTCCTCTGTAACCTTTTATTTGTAACGTGTATTTTTCGTCTTTTAAATAAACCGCGCATCGCACGCCTTCAACGTCATTCGCGTACCTATTCTTTTATTTAAACGTTGGTGTTCGACCGTGATAACGGCACGAACGCCACAGTTTAAACATTTGATGGACATTTTAAATACCGACGGTTAATAGTTGTTGAATAACAACAAAATAAGAAAATCGTTATACGAGAATCATATACAAATCATTGTAAAGTTAAAATATTCATTGCTCCAGTAGTCCACTCTAAAATACAACCTAACACACAAGCCCGGATTAAGCGGGGGGGGGGGGCAAGGGTGGCACTGCAGTAACGGGGCCCATCTTTATCCCCAAAATATATTTTTTTTACGCTTCCAATACATTTAAAAAAAAATATATATTTTATTGAAGTAGGTACAGGTATAGGTAGTAGATAAATTATTATTACTTTATAAATATTAATTATAAAATAAAATTGTTCTCAATTTTATATCATGAAAAATTACTATAAATAATGAACTGTGTTGGTAAACACAATTTTCATTATGTTTTTTTTTCTAAGTATTTTCGATTACTGATTTAACTATTAAGTATATAGGTAGTTATTAGAAAAAAATATTTAGCTCTTGTAAATTAGGTATTTCAGTTAAAAGTATTAACGCATATTATACTAAACTTTCGAGGACCATAGTTAATAAGTAATATATTACATATTTCCATATAATATATATATATATATATATATATATAATGTATTTTATTAAATTGTTGTAAAAAAAGGCTAAAATGCTGAAATCTAAATTATAATTTGTTTATTTTATTATAATGGTTGACTTTTTATTAGGAATAAATGAAAGTGTTAATTTTAAAATAAAAGTGTTCTCTAAATTAGTGGAAGCATAAATGCAATAAGGGGAAAATATACATTTTGGGTTATCAATTATCACTTTTAAATGGCTTGAAACCGATTGAAAAAAATTTCGGTTTTGGTTTTGGATTTAATACCGATTTCCAATTTTTTCCGATATTGTTTTTGATTTTGTCATCGGTTTCAGTTTTTAAACGGTTTATACCGGTTAAAGTAAATTTTAAATTAAAGGTGGCTTAAAAGTTTTTTGTGATAATAAATAAAAGGAAACTGAGAAAAAAAGGATCCTAAATACGCCACTGGTACTATGACGTAAGATTCACTATGTATATTTTTTGCATAGTAAAAAATTATACAATAATATAAAGTCATTAATGTGTAATAAATAATAATACAATTATTTTGAAGTTCAAGTTGAAAGGGGGCCCACTAAGTGTATGGTGTCTCGGGGCCCAATTGATCCTTAATATCTGGGCTTGCCAACACATAATAGTTAGGTAGGTGTAATACAAATTAAACATTATACATATAAAATATAATATCCGTGACGCTTAGGTCATAAGAATATTGTTGAACATTTTACTGCAGGCTGCGTGTTATTTCAGAAATGGTATTTAATTTGTCAGTGAAGATTTGTTAGCTGGGAATAAAATATATCATAAGCAGACTGAAATGTGAGGACGTTGCAGTGTTTCGAAGACCAAGTTTTATAGCAGATTTTGATTCACCACGGACACGGGGTATGTATTTTCTTATTTTTCAGTGTGTTTCTTTTTATTTTTGTTAATTGATCAGGGGATATATATTATTGCCTACAACTTTTAACCATGGATATATACAACAACTAGATAACCGTCTCCTTTTTGTCATCGAAGTCGACCCCCCATTTACAAAGTAGGCAATGTTTACAAAATAATATTATCATAGTATATAATATGTATCGATAAATATATATCGTCGGCCTAATTCGCAAAAGTCGTATCTCCATTTTTTGTCATTTTGGGATTATTTACTCATAAAATAAAGAAAAAAAAACTGCGTCTGTTGATACAATCAAATTTCCGATTTCATAATATTATCTCCATGAAATTGATAATTAGAAATCGTCGTATCTCCAATTAATAATATGGCCGTAAAACGTTTTTTTCTTCTCCTGAACAATTTGTAATTTTGGACATACGACCTTTGAGAATTAGGCCGACGATATGTATATAAATAAATGTAAACATTGCCTGCTTTAAAAATGGCGGCCGATTTCAACATTGGTCACAACTGTAATATAAAGACGGCTATCTAGTTGTTGTATATATCTATGGCGATGACATCCCAATCGGGAATTGGGGGGGGGGGGGCAAAAGGAGCAGTTGCTCCAGGCGGCATGTTTGCTTCCCCATAAATTGTCCCTTGATACAGCCCTGTGACACTAACTCGTGTAAACAATTTGAAGCACATATAAGCGATCAACGAGTCTCTGACGTTTTTATTGATACATACCAATTCTCATCGTTAATATGAGACATTTCTCTTCTCACATCTATCAGTCAGAGACTTGTCATCAATATGTGCTCAGAATTATCGGGATGTGGACCCATTCATAGTATATGATTCAAAATTGACACAATAAGACTGTGATCACAACTTGGAAGTATGATTGGATGTAGATTGTAAAAGTAATAAGTAGCTATTAATGATTTAATACATATTTAATTAATGATTTATCAGCATTCTCCCGTCTTGCAAGTAGGTATCAATTTCAGCGGATCTTAATTAAATTTTTAAATGTAATCTTTAATCTTTGTTAGTTTTAATATTAGAGTGATTAATATTTTTTAAAAGTATTGAAGCCTATAATGATAACTACTGAACGGGCTATACTGAATGAAAAAGTGATATCTTTCACACTTGTAAGACACATTTGTAGGCAACACTTGCCGATGAAAGGTTTTTTTTTAAAAAACAATTTTAATGATTTTTTTTAGCTTCATGTTTTTTAAAAATACTCGGATAATGTCGAGCTTTGAAGCAACTTTAGAACGTATTCAATTAATTTTATTTTGTACTTATTAGTTATTGAAACATGATATGGAGGGTAGTCCTTTTGGTCATCCAGTGTCCACAAATATTTCAATTCACAATATGAAATCCCAGCCCTGTCCACATACTCTGATTTTAAAAGCCGAGGCCACATAAGCGCATCTAGAGGGGGCTGGGGGGGGTTAGCTTAGGTCCCTTAATACGGCCCTGTATATCTATGGTCAGCGCATTATTTGCTTTCAATCTTTGATCCACACGTAGCATACCTAATGTACGAATAACAGAACCAAAACGAAGTTGTTACTTTTAATGTTAGATTAAAAATATTAAGTTAAGAAGATTACATACGTCGTTACGTTGGTTACTTGATGATATTTTAATTATTATATAAGTTATGACTTATGATTGTCTAAATAATTACAATTTAAAAATGATTATAAACGATTAGACAAATCTAAAGAAAAAAAAATTATAATTAATCTACTAAAAAATAAAAATATCTATATATTCATTATTAATACTTAAAGTATAACAATATATGCAATACGAAAAAAATAAATGAAAACTAAAATGTTATCCCAAGAAAAAATTAATTCAAGAGTGAAAGGGTTAAAATATTCAAGTTTGATAATAGGTTAATTCAATCTAATATTAAAAGTAACAACACTAACCCAGTGATTTCTAGCGTACGGGTAAGGCGATCATTATTAGCCGAAAAATAAAACAGTTCATTAACATTTTTTGAAACTTATCAGTTTTCGTTATATACCTAGTCACTATTTCACTAATCATATAAGTAACTAATTTTCGTTTTTAATAATATTTAAATTATACAGGGTGTTCCAAATTTTATGTGACAGCAGATTTCAGCATGATATATTTAAATTAGGGGAAAATGACCCATGTGAAAACTGTTTTGAATCATATAATCTAAATTAATTTGATATTAAATATTTTTTTTATTAATTAGAATGGGGAGGTTTGAGGGTCAACTTTTAAAATTCAAATGGGAACCTATATTTTTGAAATATGATTCGT